ATCACAGGGCACAACACCCAGTGACAGTCATACGGTACAATAAGCAATCAAATCATACTAGGAAACAATCAATATAAATATAAATCGCAAGGATACAAGCAACAAAGTTACAGTCATGCAGTCATAAGTGGGAGGAGATGGGTGACAGGAACAATGAGAAGACCGATAGCAATAGTAATGCAGACTAATGTGAATAGTTTGACAGTGTTGTGGGAATTATTTGTTTAGCAGAGTGATGGCGTTCAGGAAAAAACTGTTCTTGTATCTAGTTGTCTTGGTGTGCAGTGCTCTATAGCGTCGTTTTGAGGGTAGGAGTTGAAACAGTTTATGTCCAATGTGTGAGGAGTCTGTAAATATTTTCACAGCCCTCTTTTTGACTCGTGCGATATACAGGTCCTCAATGGAAGGCAGGTTGGTAGCAATTGTTTTTTCTGCAGTTCTAATTATCCTCTGAAGTCTGTGTCTGTCTTGTTGGGTTGCAGAACCAAACCAGACAGTTATAGAGATGCAGATGACAGGCTCAATAGTTCCTCTATAGAACTGTATCAGCAGCTCCTTGGAGCAGCTCCTTTTTCCAGTATGTGGAGGTTGTTGGGAACTGAATGGAGCGAAACTGACTCATCCTGAGAAAGATGGAATGGCTGTGGGTATTTGAACCCTCTGGAAATTAGGTTCTTCCATCTCTGGTTCTGAATGGGGTTGCACTACCCCAGACAGACTGTGCAATCTGGGGGGCCTCCTGGACTCGTGGCTCCTACTCAAAGAGCAGGTGGCAGCCATGGATAGTGCACCAGTTCTGCCTATACCTGGACTGGGAGACCCTGCTCACAGTCACCCATGTCCTTGTGACTTCTCATTTAGACTATTGTAACCCACTCTACATTGGGCTGCCCCTGAAGATCATTTGGAAACTTCCAACTGTGCAGAATGTGGCTGCGTGCATAGTAAACTATGCCTTATACATGGCACACATAACACTACTTCTGCATGAGCTGCACTGGTGACCAGTGTGTTTCTGGGTGGAATTCAAAGTGCTGGTGGTTACCTTTAAAGGTAACATACTTATAAACTACATGGCTTGGGACCAGGATACCTGAAGAATAATCTTTTTCCAAGAGTCTTTCTACCTTTCAACCAGATCTAGCAGAATGGGCATGCCACAAATCCTGTCAGCCAAAGAATGTCGGCTGATGGGGATCAGAAGACAAACTTTTCCTGCAATGGCTTCTATTCTATAGAACTTTCAGAGATAAGAATGATCTTTCATCAGGCCCTAAAACCCTGGCTATGTTCCTGAGCCTGGGGTGCTGAATGTGTTAAATGCCCCATTTCCTAGCTGTATTGCTAACTGGCCAAATATCTCAGTGCTTGGTATATTTACTTTGGATATTTCTATTGTTTTAAAAAGTTTTTAGTATTTTTTGATTAGAATGAAATATTATTACATTAGATGGATGGCTATAGAAATGGGAAGAATGAATAAATAAGCAAACAAACTTTAAAATTAGCCCTGAAAAGAAAGCTGTGAGGAAGTTCCATAAAAATGTGCATCCATATCTAGCTATTCTGATATTATATTAGATATGCTCATTTGATTGAGCAATGTTTCCATTAAACCACATCGCTTCTTAACTCCCCCCAAGACGGTCTAAACAATGTAAATTCTTATTTCACTTCTGAAAGGATGCCTTCACCCTACAAAATCTTTGTACCTCCATAGATAATGTTATACTGTTCCTGGCAGCTGAATCCTGCACTCCTATTAAGCTGCTGGCAGCAACAAGTATTTACAGCCAGCAAAATGGAAAAGCCCTTCAGTAGAGTTCCTTTGCACTTCAGCTTCAAAATCCATCAAAGAGAATCCCACATGCTCCTAAAGTGTGAATGAACATGCTAATAAAGACACACAACCATAGCTTCAAGAATCAAAATAGCTCAGGATCTCCTTGGGAATATGCCAGTATATGCTAGAATCGCATGAGAAAACTTGCCTTACTATAATCACTTCCTTCCTGAAGTTCTTAAGGTTTCATCTGGACAAAAAGGGGAAGGTATTTGTCTGTTTTCATAGAGCAGAACCAAACTACCCCTAGTTTCAAATGATCAGAGAATCACTAAGCACAGCACTGCAGAGTAAAGCCACCAGTTGCACTAGAGCCACCAGTTGCATGATACAAAAGAAATCCCACATTGGACAGATCATGCAACCCTCTGGGCGTTCTTCAATTATCAGATGTTTCAGAGTATAGAGCAGGAATCTCTCCCCCCTCCCCCTTCAGTTATCATAGATTGGGGTCCAAATTGCCCAATCCATATCCATATAGGATTTGTTCCTATCCATGACTCAAAAATAACAAAGGAAAAAAAGTCTATCGGTGTCAAAAATTTTACCCAGAGGTACGTGAGACCCACCAAAAGTTCAGGATAAAAGATAGTATCATAATATGAATATGCATAAACAACAGGCAGATATTCCAATGTAAAAAGTATGGAGACACACAGTTCAAAGAGTTCATCATACAGAGCAAAAGGTTTGGGTCATGCCCAAGGTCCACATACCACTGTAATTAGCTAGCTAACATCCTCTAGGCCTGGAATTAATATAGGCATTGGCAATAGCATTCCAAGAGAAAACATGCCATGACCATCAGCCAAACCCTTGAAGCATGGCGTATAAAAATCCCAGCAGTCCCCACCATCACCAACCATAAGGGCACTAACCATACCCAGGAGCTACGTCACAGAGACTCATAGAACTCTCCAGGTATTCCCCATCTTAGTTGCTCCAAGATGCACCACCCTGAGAAATTATACAAGAGATCAATAGCAACAGCTTGGCTTCAAGGAGATGCTGACCCAGTGCCCCTTGAAATCTCACATAACTGTATCATACAACAATATCCCTCACCCATGATCTGCGTCAAATATGAATTTACCATGGGAAAGAATGAAGAAGGGAGGCAATTCTGCAGAAGTTTGAAGATTTAAATTTTCCAGCGGTAGAGTAATGCACCTTAAAACAATTACAGAGCTAACCCCATGCTGGAATTCATTTTTTTGCTTTCCAGAAAATTTCGGAAAAAAGCCTCTCCCATATGGTGTCTGTTGGATGCCCTGTTTTCCAGTTCTTAAGTGATTGCGGTAGATGTTAAGGACGTGTCCTGCATAACTGGTGTGGGTTCCTCTCATTCTCTTTGTCCATCTGTCCAGTTGCATGATAGCATTTGTGTTTGGCAATGATTCTCTGACTCATTTGCTATTTCTTATCTCTCTTATTAAAGACTTCAGTCCTCATTGAGCAACAATGATTGGGACTGGCAACTTGGTTAAGTGAAGGGGTTGCTAAGTGAAACCTCCATTGTGCTTATGGTCTTACGTCAGCTTTGCTTTACAGACTTGTGAAAGTTGTTAATGCAAAGTAAGGTCACTATTGTAACTATGAATGGTCCCTAAACAAGGCAGTCCTTAAACAAGGAGTACTATATTTTCTTTCTCATGGGCAGTTTGGGGGATTGCCATGGGCATTGGGATAGGTGCTCTTCTCAGCACTCCCTCAGGCAGGTAGTCTATGTCAGCGCCCCCCAACTTTTTGTGTAACAGGGAATGGTTCCCTGGAGAGACGTTTTTCCGTGGACCAGAGGGTGTGTGGTTTCGGATGCTGCTTGCATCCCGCGAATGGGGCTTCGCTTCTTTGCGTAGCCTAGTTTCTGGCATGCCACAGACTAGTGCCAGTCCACAGATCGAGGGTTGGGGACCCCTAGCCTATGTTGAGGCAGAGAATGGGCAAGAAGGTTGGCAGGAATAAGAAAAGAGCAGACAGTTGTATGTTTTCCTCTGGTGCTTTAAATGCTGTTTCTTATACTTGTTTTTCTGTTCCTCCTTCCCCTTCCCTTTCTCCCCCACACCTTTGGTTTACATCTGGGATCACTGGGAAAGAGGCTGGTACTGCATTCAGTAACTGTCAGTTTGTTCCTCTTATAAGGGCCTTTATGGGAATCTCAGAAATTCCTGTTGGCAGTGGATGAAGATTTGATACGTAATTCATCCTGATACCTCCTGGTCCCAATTCCATGATCATGTCCTTCCAAAACTACCAACCAGGAAATTGGATAGCATTATTTGTGACATGCAAATATGGGATTATTTTAGGTCAGAATTACTATAATGAAGAATATTACTAATTTCATCTTGATTTGTTTAAAGACTCTCTTTCTCCTTCTCCGGTTATAGTTTGGGGTTTGATTGATGGATTCCAGATGTGGTTTAGCTGTTCTTGTGTTTGGTATTCTGGGCTTGTTTTGCCCGGCTACTATGAGACTTTGTGCAGGTTGAAAGTATTGAATTGCTTTTATCATCATGTTTTGCCTGCATTTTTCCTCCAGTTTATTTGCTGAGTTTCTCCAAACTGTTGATGCCAAACAGAAATAAAGGTCCTCAGTTATTTATTGGGATCAATTCTGGTGTTTTGGAAGGAACTGCAGATTCCTTCCTTCTTTCTTGACCTTTTATACTTGTCCAGTCAGATGAGGAACCATAGTTTCAAAATACATCTCTCAACCAAAGGAGCACACCTCAAGTCAAGTTCTTCTTTATTTCTACATAGCTGCATCCATACATGCAGCACCAACTTCTTGTAAAGTTCAAGAGAAAGAATGTACTGTGAAGAAAATCATATTAAACTATAGCTACCAGATCTGGACCTCTGAAATCTAGATGACTATTTGATGACAGCAAAAATAAAATTTTATATGTGTATGTATCCAGATTACTGTAGACTAACCTGGTAGTTATAGTTTAATGTTTGTTTCATAATAAACAAATAAATAAACAAATAATCACTCACTCACTCACTCACTCACTCACTCAATCAATCAATCAATCTCTTGTCCAAATCATCTGGATTTTTGCACCCCAAATATGATAGACCACAATAAACATATAGTGAATATTCTGGAATGAGATTTTCCCCTTTATGGTCTCATTCATGCCTTTCTCCTTAGATCCCAAAACTGCTGAGGCCGAAGATGACATCTGTGCAGAATGGGAAGTTAAAACCATCACCAGTGCACTGAAAACATATTTAAGGTGAGTGAGGAAGTTCTTGTATGTGTTTACAAGAACTATCTGCTTTTCAGAGTTAGTTCTTCATGAAGGATGCTTGGAATCTGCTTAAGACTTTCACTTCCTAGCTGTTTGTTTGTATCTTCTTGTTTGAATCTAAAAGAATTCATTGATTACTCAATGTTGGTATGCTGTAATGTAAAAGCTAATAGCTAATCATTCCTATCAACCAATATTTATAAGCATAATTTTCTCAAGCTTCACTGCAGTACATCTCACAATTATTATCAAGATTTCAGTGTTAACTATCTCCAACAGCATTTTGATATTCAAGCAGCCTTTCTGTAAGGTACTTTGATGTTTCAGGTTTAGAAAGCAACTTTTGTCCATCTCCTGAAACCGCCTTACTTTAGGAAGTTTTACAAGAGATAGAGACTTGATTTGAGTTCAAGTTAGAGTTTATTTATGGTTGTATTTTAAAGTACGTGAAGAATATTGCTAAAAATCTGTTATTTGTAGGGATAGATGGTGTCATTCTATGGAGCACTGAAGTCCAGCACAGTTCCTAGTAGCTTCAGTAGATTTCAGTAGATTCAATAGATTTCTGAGCAGCAATATAGAAGTAGCTCAAGAATGTTTATAATTCTGCCCATTCTCTGGAGTTTTTCCATCATGTACTAATCGAATCTGATTGTTCTTAATTTCCAAGTCCAAAGAAGGAGTCTAACAAGCACTAATCTAGGAAAATCAGGAAACTATGGGTGAGAGGGACATTATGCCAGAAGCATGCTACTTCCTTTGACACTTTCTGAGAACAATGTAATTTATTACTATTAATCACGCTGCAATAAAGATAATACGAAGATTTATTTGGCAGCTGGTCATAAACCTCAAGCGTAAGAAAGAATAACCAATAATCTCTTCAGCTCCTATCTAGCTTTCTTTTCTACTCTCTCCACATTTTGACAGGCTTTTTTTTTTTTAGAGCTGGAATAAATCATTTAGAGGTGTGAAGAGAAGATCCTAATCTTAACAGAGCCTTTTGTTGTTAGCAAATAACAAACCAGAGGCATTACTTATCTTTGGTGAGAGGATAAGATTTTCAACCTTATCATATTCCCAGTAAAGGAGTGTAGTGAACCTCTTGTAATTCCAAAGTAAATTTCCCAGTGTATTGAGTGGAGGAAAGCTCATCTTATTCCAAATCAATTTATGGAGAATCTGGGTGGTTTACAGGAATAACCGAATATACTCCTACTATCTTGGCGACAACATTCAAACAAATCACATTTCACAGGACCTTTGTCCTTTGTCTTTACACAAAGGGAAGAAACAGTCCAACGTATCAAAAGCAACACCCCACAAAAACAGACTAGGAACACAAGTTAAAATAGGGAAGAAAATGGTAAGTGAGCACCTTTCTACCCTAGGCGAGTTCAAATCACCAGGACCAGATGGATTACACCCCAAGGTTCTGAAGGAACTGGCAGATGAGATCTCAGAACCTCTGAACTATATCTCAAAGATCCTGGAGGACCGGGAACTGCCATAGGCCTGGAAAAGGGCTGATGCAGTTCCCATCTTCAAAAAAGGGAAAAAATCCAGGAAAATACAGACCTATCAATACCAGGGAAGATTCTGGAAAAGATAATCAAGCAATGAATCAGTGAACACCTAGAAGCAAACAAAGTAATAACCAAAAGCCAACACGGGTTTGTCAAAAACAGATCATGCCAGACTAATCTTATTGCATTCTTTAACAAAGTGACAAAATTAGTGGACCAGAGGAATGCTGTCGATGTACTTTCACTTGGACTTCAGTAAGGCATTTGATAAAGTAGACCATAACCTACTACTAGATAAAATAGAAAAATGTGGGTTAGACAGCATCACCACCAGATAGATTTGTAACTGGCTGACCAACCGCACTCAACATGTAGTCCTCAATGGAACTGCATCTACATGGAGGGAAGCATGCAATGGGGTACCCCAAGGCTCTGTTTTAGGCCCAGTACTCTTCAACATCTTCATTAATGATTTGGACAAGGGGATAGATGGGGAACTCATCAAATTTGCAGACAACACCAAGCTAGCAGGAATAGCCAACACTCCGGAAGATGGGCTTAAGATACAGAAGAATCTTGACAGACTTGAACATTGGGCGCTTTCTAACAAAATGAAATTCAATGATGAAAAAAGTAAGGTTCTACATTTAGGCAAGAAAAACAAAATGCATGAGTACAGTATATATGGTACCTCATTCGATAGTAGTAACTGTGAGAGTGATCTTGGAGTCCTAGTGGACAACTATTTAAATATGAGCTAGCAGTGTGCAGCAGCTGCCAAAAAAGTCGACACAGTTCTAGGCTGCGTAAACAGAGGAATGGAATCAAGATCACATGAAGTGTTAATACCACTTTATAATGCCTTGGTAAGGCCACACTTGGAATTATGCATCCAGTTTTGGTCGCCACGATGTAAAATAGATGTGGAGACTCTAGAAAGAGTGCAGAGAAGAGCAACAAAGATGATTAGGGGACTAGAGGCTAAAACGTGTGAAGAATGGTTGCAGGAACTGGGTATGTCTAGTTTAATGAAAAGAAGGACTAGGAGTGACATAATAGCAGTGTTCCAATACCTCAGGAGCTGCCATAAAGAAGAAGGAGTCAAGCTATTCTCCAAAGCACATGAGGCAGGACAAGAAGCAATGGGTGGACTTATATACCACTTCACAGTGCTTTACAACCCTCTCTGAATGGTTCACAGAGTCAGTATATTTCTCCCCAACAAGCTGGGTCCTCATTTTACCGACCTGGGAAGGATGGAAGGCTGAGTCAACCTTGAGCTGCTCAGAATCGAACTCCTGGAGTGAGCACTGAGTTAGCCTGAAGTACTGCGTTCTAACCACTGTGCCACCATGGCTCTGTAATAGTAGCAATTACAATTGCTACAATAGAAGGCTTACAGTTGCAAATTGTATTTTTTGCCAATTTTATTGCTCTTATTTGTCTATGCTTTAATCTGTATTCCAGAATGCTCCCTGGGCCACTCATGATGTATCAATTTCAAAGAAGCTTCATCAAAGCAGCAAGTAAGCAATTTGTGACAATCTCTAAGACAAAGCTATTTAAAAAAACATGACTGAATGCAATAGAAGAGATATTGGGAAATTTTTTGGATAGCTTGTATAAGAGTGTGTCAACTAGAGCTTGATTACATTAAATGTGATGAGATAGCATTGAAACATTGTTTATCAGAAACATAGAAAGGACTATTTTTAATAACTTGAAATTTTATAGTATTCTATATTTGCAGTTATTCATGAGGAAAATGATTCCCTTAATTGTAATGTGAAATCTGACAAGAAATCACTCAGGCATAATTCAAATGATGCCATTTTATCACTTATGTTTAATACTAAATTTAAAATTGAACATTAAAATTTCAGGCTGTATTAATTCTTTTGAGGACATTGAGGAAATGACTTTCCCTTTTGCCTTCTTTTCAAAAAAGAAACTGTTTTCTGCCACATATCCAATTTTCTTTTTTTAAAAAAAAAATCCACAAATGAAGCTATGTATCGACATGAGTATGGCACAGTATAAATTAGGTTGTATCTTAATATATCCATAGCACAATGTATATATTAATTGCTCCTATTGCCATGGCTACTGCCTCTGTAGTATGAAGTTATCCTATTTTGTTCTTTCAGCCATGAGATAGTTACTGACTTTTGGCTAGTCTCTGGGTTAATCAGGACTTGAAATAGATCTCCTGAGCTCAAATAATGAGCTTCCTGCCATGTTATCCTGCCCTCTGCGGTATGCATATCTGGAGGTTGCACCTGTGCCTTCTAAACTCCTGGAACCTCCTTCCATCAAAGCTCCACATAGTTAGAACAGATTGTGAAGGTTCACCTTTGCAAGAAATATTAATTAGTCCTTAGTGACAAAAGCTATGCAGCATCGAAGCATTGGGACATCAATATTTAATAGCCCATGAAGACTCCTGAATGAGAAACCTAGATATGGTAAAACCTCAGAAATATCTGTGAACTCAGCCTTTTGTTTTGCAAAAATCTTCCATTTTTAATAACTTACTTGTTGGAAGATGGTGATACTCTTCTGAAGCAAAGGCCACAAATACGGCAACAGAAATTAAAAATAAATTGCTCTATCGGATTGGATTATAACAAACTATTTTATGATGAGAATAACAGTTAGTCACCATAACAAACTTGTGAATATTCAAAGTGCTTCCCAGTATATTGTTCTGATTCCTTCAAATACTCTGGAGTATCAGAGTATCAGAGATAATAGTATCAGTACTATTATCTTCATATTCCTTATGAGTGACTGAGAGGGAGTGGCTTATCTAAGGGATTTAATAGTAGATACAAGATTTGAACTGGAAATTCATATTCAGCCTTTTTATCATTTTACAGCCTTAGCTTAGTGGAAGGCAGAAACACACAAACATCATTAACTGTTATGTCTTTATTCTGCAAAAAATAGCTAGTGCTTGATTAATGGAGGTGGCATTATGTACAAACAATAAAAAGGATTATTAAAGATAAGTTAATGCTTTTCCAGACTCCTGGTTGCTAGTGCTTGGGAACAGAATAGCACTGGGTTGATTATGCAGAGGTATAGAAAGGAAAGAGGAAAGAAAGAGAGAGAGAGGGAGGGAGGGAGGGAGGGAGGGAGAGAGAGAGAGAGAGAAAGAAAGAAAGAAAGAAGGAAGGAAAGAAAGATTGCACACAGACACATGTAGATGAGAAAGTTCCAATGACCCCTCCCCAATTTTTCAGGTTTATCATAGAAGTAATGTATTTATTTTAATAATGTTTTCATAGGGGTTATGAATATAAGTCAATAGGAAGATTGCTTATAAATCAGGCCAGCACTACATACCTCAAGATGAACAGTCCTACAGTTTGACAACTCATAAGCAGGATATAATTGTCCTATATCAGTTTTGTTCCCCTGGAGCTGGTCCTTTCAGAGGCAAAGGGCTTTTGCTTTGAAACTACTGTTACTATTGACAATTGACCAGTTCCCTCTTTCTGAATATCTCTAAATGGTTTTTCAATTTTCTAAAAGCAAGTGAGGGAATTAAGATTGTATACGTCCCAGTGGGCTGTACTTGGACTTGGGAGAAAAAGTATGATCTGGGATCTTTTTCCTTTTTGCCATTGGAATACATAGGGAAACAATGGATAAAGCATGGGAGGGTTGTTGCATTCCATGAAACTGATGACTGTTATAGAAAAACATGTTCCTTTGTGTAATTGCAAATGCAATTCCATTTGCTTCTAAGCATGCAAATAAAATCACGTTATACAGACCTTACAAGTGATTTGGTTGCTTTAGGTTAGTCAGCTTTTGGCCACAACAGTTGTCTCATCTTTTTTTTTCACTGGAACTGGAATGGGGATAAGAAATCCCATTATTTCTATTGAGAGAAATAACTCCCTATTGAAGATTTTAATTGCTATTGCTATCTTCCACTAGTCCCAGTAGTTCATGATGAGATAGAGGAAGGAAGTGGTCAGTACAGTGAATCGACTATTTTTCTATAACCTATGAGTAGTAGCATTTGTAAAAGTCCAGTCCTTTGGGATTGATTGTTCAGATACTTTTATGATATAAAAGCACCTGAAGGCAGGACAAGAAGCAATCGAAACTAATCAACGGGAGAAACAACCTAGAACTAAGGAGAAATTTCCTGACAGTTAGAACAATTAATCAGTGGAACAAGTTGCCTCCAGAAGTTGGAATGCTCCAACACTGGAAGAGATTGGACAACCATTATTTGTCTGGAGTGGTATAAGGCTTCCTGCCTGAGCAGTGGGTTGGACTAGAAGACCGCCAAGGTCCCTTCCAACTCTGGTATTCTGTATTCTGTATATCATCAGTCTCTGTCTTCAAAATGTACTGTTTTCCTAAGATAACATTTGTGATTCTTAGAATTTTAAAGTTATTTTTAAAAGGAGTTATGAAATCTTAACAATTTTGATATGAGTAAAGGAGTTCTTGTGGATGGGGGCAAGTATGCATATTATATTAGTACGGTTAAACACACTCATAGATTTCAGCTTGATTTTTGTCATTGGTAGCTGAATCATAAAGTCAAACTCCACTAAAAGAGTATTTTGTCTTGCTGCAGAACTGGAGAATCAAGAATCCAGAATTTCAGAGATCCATAGCTTAGTGCACAGACTTCCAGAGAAAAACAGACAGATGCTCCATTTACTCACGAATCACTTGGCCAAGTAAGTATCCTGTTTTTCATAAACCTTTTGTTTTGCTAATGGTTTCAAATGGAAAAGAGGTAACTTAAGAGTATAGATCCATGATGGCGAAGCTATGGCACACGTACCAGAGGTGGCATGCAGAGCACTCTCTGTGGGCACACACGCCGTTGCCATCTGCTCTTCTGATTTCCGGTGCACTCAGAGACTATATACCAGTGACAGCGAACCTTTTCAGCACCAAGTGCCCAAACTGGAATGCGTGCACGTGCATGCATGCGCTGGAGCACCGGAAACCCAAAGATCAGCTGGCTGGTGCACACGCGCACACCGGCCACCTGGTCTTTGGGTTTCCGGCAGTCCAGCATGCGCAGAAACCAGCAGACCAGCACGCATGCGTTTGCTGGAAACCCGAAGACCAGGTGCTCTTCGGGTTTCTGGTGCTCCGGCACATGCATGCATGCACACTGGTATAGATGCTGTTCCCAAATCTCCAGCTCTGTTGTCTTGGTAGGATTCCCAGTCATTCCTTGGCATGACAAAGAAGTAACTCAATCGGATTAGTATTGATGATCCATACCAACACAAACTCTTGCTAGGAATGATTTTATTAGAACACCTGCTTATACTGAAGAATGTAAGCTTCTCTTAATACCAAAGTTGGAATCCCAACTCCTCTTCAGGCTCTTCGTAATCTACATGAAATATATTTGTGATATAAGACACTTATTTTGTGAGGATAAAAAAGTCACTGCTTTCCTTATTTTTGGAAAAACCTTCGTTCTGTAAGACACTATAAATTACAGAGATTTCACAAAATTGGGCAATTATACTTCACAGACTGGTGTAAAAGGCAGAAAAAGTGTGACTTATACTATACTGATCTAGAAGAATCTAAGGAAAAAAATCTAAGGAAGCATAATATAAATTAGATGGAAAGAAGGATGAATGGCTGATAGAGAGTCAGATGAAAAATCAGTTTAACTGAGTCTCTCTATAATAGCACCGTAAAACACAAACATATGTGTGATTTTCATGGAATGGCACTTGGGTAGTTTTCGCTTGGTTTGCTTGGCATCTGAGCAATACTGAACCTGTTTAATGTTTGGAAGGGAGACCTATGGAAAATATCAGTAATTTAGACTACAAATTTGAGGAAAAATCCAGAAGGTGGTGGCAATCCATATTCTTATATTGCTGCCAGGATAACTACATACTGTAAATGTATCCATGTGGGAACCAAAAGTTGAGGTTTTGTTTTGACTTTACTTATCTTTACCGTTATACTAATCCTGCAAGGTAGGGTAAAGAGAGAAGGGAAGGGAAGGGAAGGGAAGGGAAGGGAGGGAGGAGAAGGGAAGGGAAGGGAAGGGAAGGGAAGGGAAGGAAAGGAAAGGAAAGGAAAGGAAAGGAAAGGAAAGGAAAGGAAAGGAAAGGAAAGGAAAGGAAAGGAAAGGAAAGGAAAGGAAAGGAAAGGAAAGGAAAGGAAAGGAAAGGTCTCATGTTTTCTGAGGCAAAACCAAACTTGATATGAAGGATGCTGACCTTAAATTAAAAATGCCTGTCTTTTGTTCTTCTATGGAGAATTCTATGTATTTTGCTTTCTTAAGGTGCTCTTATCCACCATGGGAAATTGTGCTTCTTGGATTCCTCCTTCCCTAATTAAAAACTGCTTTGGGTGATTTAACTTCATAGAAGGGTTGTGCGGGAGAAGGATTTTAAACCCCACTTCCTCTGCGACAGGGTCCCAAATACATTTGTTCCACTCAGAGGCTTCCACAGAATTTGATCTTTCTTTTAGAATGATGAAAGAAAGAATGCAACCTTGTGACACCCCATACAGACCTGTGTGCATGTACAAAAGGGGCAGAGCTAGTATCCTGCACTGTCATTTGGTTGGTTTTGTCATTTGGCCTCTCTCAGGTGTTTTTGCTTATCCCCACAAAGTGTCAGAGATATAGTCACATTATATCTACTGGTTAAAATCTTGAACTAGGACTGGATAGATTCAGTCTGAAATTCAGACACTGATACAGACCTATTTGTTTGTTTATTTTTTGGAAAGTAAAGCAAACAAATGGGCTTTCTGTATATCACCAAGACTGGAAATAAGAATACAATCCTTGATGAGTTTTACAAGCAATTCATTAATAAACCAACTCTGCTTTGTGCTACAGTATGACTGTTTGCCACCAATTCCTGCCATTTATAGTAGATAGCTCTATTGCTCAATTAAGATGACTATTTATGTTGTTATTTGCTGGTCCAGGGTACTTGCTGAAATCCACTTCAGTCTTTTAACATTTCATGCTAGTTAACTGTGCTTTGGTGTGTGTATATACATGTTGGGGCCACTTGATTAAAATCAGTGTTTTAATATAAATATAAATGGAAATGTGTAAATATTAAAATTACATAAACAAGTTGGGGAACAACATTTTTATACTTCCACAAAGGCAAAATGTATTATTTTGGTTTGAAATTAATGATTTTTAAGTGCAGCATTTTTAGATTAATAATGGATAAGTAGCAAAATTGTATAGTAATATATTCATTTTTACTCTTTTCAACCAATAGAAATTTTGCAAGAAATTATGGAAAGAGGCTCAGGAAGATGTCTATCTGTCCTTCAGCGGGATATCTATCTGAAAGCAGAATAGAAGTATATCAAATTTGGTGAGGGAAAGTAATTAGCAAAAGAAATATCAAGTTGCAAAATGGACCAGATCAGATCATAGGAGTATAAATAGTCTGTCCTTTGTTTCCTACGAGACATATGTATAATTCATAGACAGAACATAAAGTGAAATAAAAAACGCACAAAATTACAAAATATACCTTGTCTTCTGTACAGGTAGTCCAGGTTTTACAACCAGTTGTATAACAAACAACCCAAATTATGTCAGAAAGTGTGCTTTATGGCTTGTAAAGCACTTCTGCCCATTATAAAATGTCGGACCACCACCCTACCTCACAGTCACATGACTATATTTTGGCTGCTTGTCAACCTTTTACACTTAGACTAGTTGCCAAGCACCCTGCGATCATATGGTTGCCATTTGCAACTCTGCTGATTTCCTCAGAAAGTCAATGGGGAAGCTGGCAGGGAAGATTGGAAGGTGCTGCTGCCTGCCAAGAAGGCTAGATGAAAGATCTGCCTGGCCAGTCCCTCAGCTGGGCTGCAGAAATGGGGCTCACATAGCAAAGATTCAAATACCGTCTCTGCAGCCTGACTTAGCTATTCCCTTCTGAACATGAAAAAAAAAAAAACTTTCTAGCCTTCAGAATGATGGCGTTTGCTAGTTTTCAAGCCCAAGGAAGGCTGGAAAGCTAGCAAACACCATCGTTCTCATAATCATTTGGAAGGGCCTTTCTCCAAATTTCACACTTTGGAGCTTTCCACAAATTGCAAAAATGGATGCTTGCAGCATGTTGTGAGGTAGAAAGGCCATGGTTCATATTGGCCAGGTGTGCAGAAAAAGGAAAGAGAACCCGGGAATGGCGGAGTGGTATGAGGGCTCCTGTCCTGGTGTTTTGCTTAATGACCCATGTGGTCCCTTAATGACCACAACTGGGTATACTAGCATTGCAGTCATGGAGCAAGTGGTCACATGGGCATATCACTTAACAACCATTTTGATGAATGACTACAATCCATCCCAATTGTGGTGGTATGTCAAGGACTGCTTGTTGCATCTACTTTAGCCTTAGTACATACAGAATAACTTTGTTATCCTGTGTATTTAGATATATTATTTCAATTAGTAGCTCAATTAACTTGAAGGAATATTATCATAGTCATTATAATGATTTGTAAAAAAAAAAGGTAGGGAAGAAAAGGAAGTTTTTTTCACCCCCAAATATAATTTGTCATAATTCTTGTGTAGTTTAGAATTTTCCCTCAAATGTAATCATTCCTTTGTTTCTGGTTTGGTACATGAGGCATGACAATTTTTATAGCATATTTTTCTCAGTTGCCCTAGTTTCTGTGGGTTTTGGTTTATTGCAAAGCTAAACTAAGGCAGTGGTTGAATCAGCATAGCGTCAGTGATCCGAAATGTTTGTGTAACCAAACTGCTTGCCTAGTGTTGATTGTGCTTAACAGAAATCCTTTGTGGTTGCCATTTGAAGACCAAGCATTTTAAGGCTCAAGATCCTGTGGCCAGGCTTCCATTTGTGAACTATTCAAGCTGCCATGATTTTCTTAAGCCATTTTATTTTTGCCCAAAGAAAGTGAGGAGGAGATTCTTTTTTGGGTCCTAAATTAAAACTAAACTGTTTATGCAACAATCCTAAGAATTTCTTCAGTAGGATGTCACATCCTTAAATTTTGCTAAAGTAACCAAAGCATTCTAAATTTTCTCTTCCTGTTGTTTTCTTGTTTATAGATGTCTGCCTAATTTTAATAGCAGCTTTTTTTAGTGCCTACATTTTATTTTTTTCCCCCAATTCTGCCATTGCGCTAACTTTTATATTCATATATTTTTATTTTGTAAGAAAAAAAATAACTCTGGATTATTCGATGGATATCACAGTATCTTAATTATATCTCTAATGCTGATTTTGATTGATGTTGGCATTACCTACCTTCCTCTCCCAGCCACCTTTGATTTCCTTCTACAATTTATGTCCGTGAAATAATATATAGGGAACATATTTCCTAATTCAGTTAAAAGTTGCAAAGTATTTCTAGAAAAGTTGACTGGTTGACTTCAATATACTGTATCTTTCCGCACCAAGCAATTAAGCTCTTTTTGAGAATTTTCAGCAATAGACTATATCTAATAAGCTTGTAAAGCAATATGGAACATTGTGAAAATTTTGATAGATTCTGCCTCAATTTAATTTTCTTTTAATTGCTGTTCATTGGCCTGATACCTGTCATCTCTCTTGCAAAGTAATCAGTGTTCACTGGAGTGAATACTCCCTTTTCATTTTATGTTTCTATTGCTCTGAGAGAATAATTCATTTCACTTACAGGTTCTCATTCTATGTACTTAAATATTATGTGATATAGTATT